AATATAAAAATGCTATTCGCGAAAAGAATTTAACAATATTTTTCTCTCCAAAAAAACTTTATCACGTTCCCGAGGTAGAGCGAGAAAAATAAACAGAGAATGCCAGCGGAATCATCGATCTATTGGAGTTCGGTCGACTCCCGAAAATCGACCTCCGGCAGTTCCGGAAGCGACGCTGGCAGTCGTCATTACGTGGACCCGTGGGACCTGGAAAATTACGCTTACCTACGTCGTCATAGCGTCGCCGACGTGCCGCGCCGAACGCGACGTCCTCCTACAAACGAGCGTTCTTCCCGCGATACGCGAGCATTCTCGGAATACTGGTAATACATGAGAGAAACTCCGACATGTAAAATTAAGGGTCTGCAACTACACATTAGGCTATTATATCAAACGTATAAGTTCTTTTTCTCACTCTATATATCTTGCAAGATATAATTCACAGAAAAGAAATTTTTTCATATCAGAAATCTATGTAGAATTACAGCGCCTCTCTTTTCTTTAACAATGTAGATTCAGATCTTAATATTTATATAATACACACTTGAAATTATTAATCTATTATTAATTTATATTAATGTCATCTATATAATAATAATAATAATCAATTATATAACAATTAATATTAGATATAAATTGTGTATGTAATAATAACTTAAGAAATTAAGAGAATTTGAAACAAAAACAAAAAGGTTTGATATAAATTGTTTTAGGAACTTGAAAATATTACTCTGAAACTCTTGAGGTAGTTATATAAATCAATTTTTACAAATTGTTAAAAATTGATACCTTTAATTTTACAATCATGATATCAAATTTTCATAGTGAAATTTAGTGTTTATTCTCGTTCTTTTAGTCTTTCGTTGCTAATCAATTGGTTTTTTAACGAATTTTCCAGGTATGCCTTACCCTCATTGAGAGAATCGGAATACGATGGTTCCCCATACGCGCAGGAACTGTACCGTAGACCAATTAAGCCAACAAACAATGGCTTCTATTATCAGCAAGCTATCTATGAGGACGAGGGAATGGATTATACTGCACCGTTTCCGGTTTACACGCCTGGATTATTCGGTAAGGTTCGTCTATACTAGCTCAGAGTCATCTGAAAATTATTTCATATTTTAATATGCGATTTTTGACATTTTGACAAATATCTTTTAGTTATTTGTATATTAAAATATGTTTGCTTAATTTTTTTTACTGTATTTTTTCAAAACAGCAAGTATCGATTTATTCGATAAATAATATCGTTTTTTAGAATATAATACTGAATATAAAATTGTTACATAATTTTAAATAATCAAAAAATATCTAAATTCCTACTTGTAATAAAAAATAAATTATATATTCTCCATAACAATATGTCATTTATTTATCAACTTTTTAGTTTTTTGTTCGAAAAATTTAGTAAATCTTCAAATTTAATGTTTCAATTGTAGACTTCAAAACGTGTTTCAAATTACAATTTCTCGTTACAACATGAAAATCTTATTGTTAGATATTACTCTAATGACCCGATACTTTTTATGGAAATTTCAAACTGGAGTTAGAGTTAAATTGTAATGAACATGTGTATATTAATATTTTCACAGATACTATAAAATTGTTGAATATATAGTCTCTAATGTGATTGTATGCCACTGGAAACTAGCGCGAGTTCGATTCTGCAGATTTTACGCTCTACTGGAGAAAAAAAAAAAGAACAGAACGGTCAGACAGTTTCCATAGTTTTCCATTCGAAATGCACCTCGAGAAATCGAACGATTTTTATGGTTCGTAACGCGTTAGAAAGTTTTTATACGTGCTGTCGTTACATTATAATGTCTTATGGTGCGACACGATGTCGCAAGAATCTCCTGTTGCGATGCGTTCGGGCGCGAATCCGTACATCAATGTACGAATCGATCTTCACCGTGTAATTGTAATTTTCATCGTGTAGACTTTCTCTCCTAGATATTAAATCGTGCGCGAATTTTGCAGCGTTCACGCGCGCACATCAATTGTTTTTGGTGAATATTGTAATGATCGAGGCTTTTGTGAAGTGCGAAGTTTGATTTTTTTTTAAGAAAAGAGAATGTAAAAATATATCCATGGCATCTTTCATTTTTTTCCGATTTATATTCAACATGAATTTTTCTGCACAGTACGAATGATACAACATGTAATAATTTATGAAACAATAACAAAACGTGATTTTTAACATTTATTTTGGAGGAATTTATTGACTGTGTATAGTTTTATATTTGGATTAATTTGAAAAGATAAAGATAAAAAAAGATATACATATATTGAAATATAATCACTAATTTTGAATTGTATATGGACTCTCTTTCTCTCTTTTTCTTCCTTTTTCTTGTCTCTTTCTCTATTGATTCATGTAAAATTTATTTGTTCAAGAAATTTCTAGATATCCCCCGCAAGAAGAAAGATGCTTGCCATATGCAATTCACACAGATAAAGACAGATATATAGCGGAAGCGATCTGCCCACCTCATATTGGACATTTAAACACATACGGTCATCTGAAGATCGACTACACGAACAGCTGGAATTCACTCAATCGTCGAATTAGAAAATAAAAGAATTGGCTTCTCTCGGATCAGAAATGGATATGAGAGATGAATTACTCGATGATGAGATATGTTACATAAATAATATTGTTATATATGCTCAATTAAAGCTTTTAATTAATTAAGGGTTTTTAATCGAAAAAAACCTGTAATTAAATCGTTTTTAATATCGTTATTATTATTTATTAGTCGATAGTTCACAAACATTTGTTTTGCTTTCGTATGTGTGTTACAGTATTAGATATATTTAAAAAATTATATTACGTTAATTTATTTTATTAATTTGTAATTGTATTAACTTTCTTCGTTCAAAACATTACGTAAGAAACGAAATATTATTAAATTATTTGCGTTCATAAACCATACATATATATGTATATGTATATCGCATTTACATTATATAAATAAAAATATGTAAATTGCAATCGAAATTAAAATTTATAT